ATATTATTTTAATGGGATAGATTTACCAGCAATAATACAGAGGTTTAATGGGACTTAATGATATTTTAATGGGATAGATTTACCAGCAATAATAGAGCTTTAATGGGACTTAATGATATTTTGATGGGATAGATTTACCAGCAATGATAGAGGTTTAATGGGACTTAATGATATTTTAATGGGATAGATTTACCAGCAATAATAGAGGTTTAATGGGACTTAATGATATTTTAGTGGGATAGATTTGCCAGCAAGAATAGAGGTTTAATGGGACTTAATGATATTTTAATGTGATTTAGTGGGACTCACCCTCCAGTAAACTAATGTAGCTATAGAAAATCATCATTTGTAATATGCAAATGAGGCATTTTTGTGGTCATGTTCAACTACCACAGGGAAATTTTGCTCGCCAGAGCTAGCCATGCCTCGCCGGTCTCCCCTATGATTTCCAGGAGTTGTCATGGAACAGTTTGGTGAATAGTGTGACACAATTGAATGCAATTGACATGCCCTCTGGTAAACATTAAGTCGCTTTGAGTCGCATCATTTCTGTTGTTTTCATGGATTTACCCTCTGGTTATGACTAACATAGCGAACTGGAAAATGGCCCATTTATAGTGGATTTACCCATAAACACATGGTGATTTTCCATTGTTATGTTAGTTTACCAGAGGGTAACTACCCTGCGATAGACCCTGTGACTATGATTTAGATTGTGGTTACAGAACAAGTGCACGCTGGTTTGTTTGGTCAACATTTGAGATGTGCATTGGTAGCTACTGTACGGTGTGGTGCCCCCAGTTATAAGTGGTATATGCCCCAATTAAGTATAGAATTCCATAGATTGACTATTAGGCTATTGGAGTTATATACCAACTTAGCCAACTGTGGGACAATGGGGCACCGCCTTGTATCAATGTGCATCCTCTCTTTTACTCCTCACCTATTGGCACAGATAGTTACAAAATGACTTGACCCTTTCGCTGGTGTTTCATGGTGCTTCGTAAAATTGCAGAACCGCAAACAATGAAGTGCCACACGGGTTTTGTGCCATCAAAAAATCAACCATCAATCATATCCCAATATCTTTGATACTTAAAACAATTTTAAAACAATGTTAAAACCCCATAGAATCCCTATGATTGATGGATCAATTCCATTCATATCCCGTCAAACCGTGGAAAGCCGTCTTCCAGACGCCCTGGGACTCGACCGTTCTTGAGGAGGGGCCGCTTCAAGTATGATCTCTGCGATTTTTCCGGTGCTTGTGGAGCATGCCGCTCGGGTTTTCAGCAGGGTCACACGGGTCACACCGATAAAACCAGGAGTTGCAACAGATTCAATCAGATTCAACATGAGAGGGTCCTGTAAGTACTAGATGGTTGCACAGTTTGAATGGATTGAGCATGATTGAGCTATCCATAATTTTAAGATTTCATATGATTATCCAATGAATGTAGTGGGTTTATGAACCGAAGTTTTTTTGAGTTGTCCAACCACCTGTGATGGGGTTGAAAGCAATGAAAGAAACTTTCGTGTGTATGATTATACATGTTAAAGAGGGCCACAGCAGCAAACTAGTACTGTTTCATGATACTGATATTGTTTGATATATATATATATACCCAGCAATAATGATTGATCACGAATTGTATCAAGGTATTTTTTGATATATATATACATACCCATCATTTATCAATTTTATCAGTATCATGTATGGATGGTGTGCTATAATTATATGAAATGGATTATGTTTGGATTTATGTGTTGAACCCCAGGCATAAATGCTATTCCCTCCCGGTGAGATCCACAAATATTGGGGACTTACGGGCTGTTGTGGATGATCCTCATCCGGTTCCGAGAAGAAAACCAAGTGATTTTTAGGCACTTCTCCATAGTTTGGGATGGAAAAAAACGAGCAAATCGTTGGTCGAGCGGTTTTCCATGGTTTTCCCAAGTCCTTGGTCCGATTTTTCGGGGACTGTCCAGGGGACACTGTCCAGGTTGTTGCTTCACTTTCTGCACGTGTCTTGGAGAATCAGCTGGTGTCTCCTGTTTTCTAGGACCTCACTGGGTGACAGCACTACAGATGGTAAGGAAGGGGAAATCAACCTATGATGGTGAATTACTATCAGTGTTGCTCCAGCCCATGGTGATAGTATAGCGACTCTTGGTGGCAAGGTTGGTAATTTTACCTCTGTATAAAGCGATTTTATCTCCTTGTATCTGGGGTGTTACAGTGTGAGGCCCCCGAAACAGCTAAGTTGACTTGTAATTAGCCAAACTATGGTTTATGGGGAGTATAACTATAGTTAAGGGTGTTTATAAATCCAGTTGTATCTGAGGGGGTCCTCCTTCACTTTGTATGAGTAACGTCATGTGGGAATAACAAAAATCCAACGGTTCTCCTAGTTTTTGGCTTGGACACTGGGTCATTCCTGTTTTTTTTAGGTGTCAGATGTGTTAGCGAGGACGACTAAATGTGTTTTGCCTAGTTAAGATTGCTCATGCTACTCATGTGATTGGATATATAATGATCTATATATATATATATACGAATATGAATTATATATATATATATATGATTTATGTATATATATATGAATTATATATATATATATGAATTATATACATATATATACATGAGTTATATATCTATTGCCACAATATTAGCACTATTGGAATGCTATCGAATAGTACCCGTGCTACCAATCTTACCATACTATGAACTACCATCCGTCTCATCCATCGATTCCCAAGGGCAAGAGCCCCAGAGCCTGCGCCGAAGAACACAGGGAAAACAATGCCAGATGTAAGTGGTTTATCCTACATGATTTACCCTGTAATGGTAAAAGCCGAATTTCACTCGATAGATTATATGTATAAATACAAGTATATATACATATATATATATATATGTATATATATATATATGTGTATACATGGGCCATGTTCCATACTTATGTTAAACTATTAAGAATTCTGACCTCCACAGTGCCCTGGTTGGTGCGCCCTGGCCCAGTTGGTGCGCCATTGGTGACTTGTGGTACCGTGCCGGGCACACGCACGCTATCTCTGGAAACAGCCACCCTCCGATCCAGGCGGGGCCGGGGCGTGTGGTGATAAGCAAAAAGGTAAGTCATTGTTCTGGGTAAATTATAACGAAGGTTTTGGCTCTGCCTTCGTGAGGCAACCTTGTTTCCCCACTCGGGCAGGGGAACGGAAGAGCCATGGCATCCAAGTTCATCAGTGACAATTTGCTGGAGGATCTCCTAAAGATTGACATTTTGGGGTCAAAGGGCAGCCGGTTTGCACCCCCACGTTGTCATCTCCTATTGGAAATCAACAATCGATGGCTTAGTGAAGATGATTTACTCCTGGAAATCCAAACATACAGACCGGATGGTTTTGGCATAGATCTTTTCATGCTGGATGTCATGGAAATCCCGAAGGAAGAAATCATTTGTGAAACTGACCAGTTGCTTTGGAATGTCAATTTGGCACTTCCTCCCAGGGGAACTCAGTTGTGGATGTTGAACTTGCTTGAAGAAAACATGATCAGGGGTAAGTGGGACCTTGCATACAGATTCGATTCCAAGTCATCGTGGATGAACGCACCTCAGCCATCTTTGCAACAGACACCACTGCGCTGTTTAGAGCTCTTTGCCGGAGCCTATGGAGGATGGAAAGGGGCATTGGAAGTTTTGAACATTTTCCAAGTAAGATCGCAAACCGTTGGTATTGAGATTGATGAACGAGCCTCCAAAGCATATGTACTTTCTCATTTTGCCAACTGGTTAGGACCGAATGTTGAAATCACCGATGACTGGCTTTGTCGCAATCAAGAAAACTGGATTTGGCAACAGGATGTGTTGAGTGAACGGATTCTGAAACCTTTGACTTTTTGGGAACCTCATGTGGTCACCATATCATCACCATGTCCGGATTGGTCATCAGCTGGACTCGCGAAAGGTCTTCTGAAGCCTGGAGCAAAGCTCTTGTTTCAGACAGTTCTGGCCTGCAGATGGATCAGACCGATGTATATAGCATTGGAGCAAGTCAACAATTTTCACCATCATGAACACAAGCACTGGATCTTGAAGGCACTCCATGCTGTAGGATACCGAGTGATTTGGCAGAAGGTTTGCAATCTCAGTTCCCAGGCACAGACACACAGATTGCGATGGTTAGGTCTTGCAGAACGGATTTCAGCCCAGGTGCCACCCATTGAGTTCACGATGTGGCCCCAGATTGAGCACAAATGGCCACCTGTAGTGATGCCTTTTTCCAGTGAAATCAAGAAATCCTTGGCCATCAATGCAGAAATTGTTGAGCTAGCCAGCAGTGCAAATTTCCTGAAGACAACGCTCAGCAATCTACCGAGTCCAGATGTGATCTTTTCCAAACGAGTTTTCCAACCTACCGATGTCTTTCCGACATTCATGGCCTTGTATGGACAACAACGCCATGTCAGGCGAGAGTTTCTCCAGAAACATGGGTACCTAGGACACTTTGTAGGTGACTGGGACATGCCACATCATTGCAGGTTCTTGCACCCAGCGGAAGTTGCGATTTTGCATGGATCCCACAACAAGGTTTACCTAGAGGGAGATCACAAACATGCTTGGCATCAATTGGGAAACATGATTGCCATTCCCCATGCTCTTCTAGTTTTGGGAAACCTTGTAAAGGGTATGGGACTTACTGGGGCTTCAATCGATGAAATCTTTCAAGTCTTTCATGAATCGAAACTCACCACAGCCAACTGTTGCTATCGCAAGATCGGTAAAGGTGGTTTTGTTTTGAAGAAGGATCATTTATTGACCAATGATTTCCTGCGCAATGCAATGTCTCTTGAGAATTCCCTGCACAAAGAACAGTGGCAGATTTGGTCACCTGTACATGGCACTTTCCAGGATCATGAAGAATTTTTGCATACCAAGGCGCAGACAATCACCAAGAGTTTCGTCCTTCAGCCAAGGTCACACACAGGATTCGACATGCAGACCGCAACAGTGTATAGTGCTGCCAGTAGTGCCACTGAAATGCATCCGGAGAACACCCGTCCACCTCCGAATCCATTGCCTGATGCCCTGCGCCAAGCAGAGTACCGACATGACCATGCCAAGTCCAGCACAGCACATGCCAGTTCCTGCATGGACACCGTGAATCACTGGGAACCAGGGGAACATAATCTGATTAACCACCAACATGAATTGAATCATGACGGTATGCACAAGCACACAGTCATCCCACATGACTGCCTGCACACGGTATCCAAGCGACCAGTACAGTCCAATGCCCTGCCAATGGCAGTGACTCCATATGAGCATGCACAGGACACATTTGGTCCAGCTACTGCCCTGAACAACCAGGTAGAGAAGTCCGACATGAGCCGTCCAATGTGTACCTCTCAGGCAGTGCCACTGGCAAATGATGCGTCAAAAGACACACATGCTGCACACACCAGCTTTCAGGCCATGCCCCCTACACGACCAGGGTGGGGGGGCTCAACTCACATGATGACAGGCCAAGCAGCAAAAGACCCGAAAGCCCTGCAGCCAGCAGTGTGCCGACCTGAACCATCAACGCGATCTGAAACAGCATCAGACACCCATGTCCCTCCCACCTCCGTTCATGCCAAGCCCCTTCCACGCTTAGGGTGTGGGGGCCCCTCCCAATTGATGACAGAAAAAGCAGAAGAGGAATCAAATGCCCTGCGGCTAGCAGTGTACCGACATGAACAGCCAAAGAGACATGCTGAATCATCGAGTACCCATGTCCCTCCCACCCGCTTTCATGCCATGCCCCTTCCACGCTTAGGGTGTGGGGGCCCCTCCCAGTTGAACATGGATGACTCTGTAAAGGGAAAAGAGGATCAAACTGAGGCACCGATGTTCACCTCAATTGACCCATCTATGTATGAATACCATGAAAGCTCAAGGAAAAGACAATGCACCAGCAACCACCTTGAAAAAGGAGATGAATCAGTCACATGGAGACATGTACACCTTGACCGAACACAGCCACATGACAGATCACACCACCAACAGGCGCATGAGTCTGGAGTCAGAGTGAAGGACAAAGGCAATGAAGACCATTCGCCCATCACAGTGCGATCGGACACCCCTACCATGTCAGACACAGTGCAATTCCAGCCAGTTCTGAAAGGTTCGATTCAATGGAAAGACTTTGATGAGACCTTTTGGTTTGCAGCCGACATCCCAGCCAGCCATCTGGAGAGAGTTTGGGAACTTGGAACATGTTGCAGCTACACGGATCTGAAAGAACAAACAGCTGCATGGTTGTCTCCCATGAGAGTGATCCACACAGAAGAGGAAGAAGATGACATCCCGAGATCCTGCGTGCAAATCCTCATGGACAATGATTTGTCCATTCTGAAAGTGGAACCCCAGGTACCGCTGTTACAACAACAGCACATCACATCGCTGGCTCAGACCTTGTATGATCAGTTTGGACAGGTAACGGATGGACAAACGACTGACTTTGGAACCATTTTGTTTACGGAACCAATCCTACATGGAGTCAATGCACATGACCTGGTATATGTTTTTGCTGCTTTTGCACCAACAAAGATGAACTGGCATGTTTGCAAGTTGTCCAATACTATCACTGCAAGCTTTGAGGGAGAGGAACTAGCGGTCAAATTTCTGCAGAAGTTTTTCATGAATGCCATCTCCTCACACTCCATGGACTTGATGGGGAGAAAAGCAGAAATCAACCAAAATGGGGATTTAGTTTTCAAACCCAGAAGACACTCAGGTGTTATCCCGGCCAACCCTTTCTTGATTGCCATCTCAATTGCAGCCTCCAAAACTTTGCTGGATTGCATAGAGACAGAGACGGATGATCTGACGGGCAAAGACACCACCATCAAATGGGCAGGTAGACCAATTTGGACGGGACGCCTTCATTCAGAAACCACGTTGGGTACAATTGAATATATCCTCAGAAAATGTTTTCAACCATGGGGACCAACACCTGCTTTCCGACTGATCTGCGAGGGAACTCAGGTCCCTTTGGACACATCCGTGGACCAACTTCCCATGAATGCCAGACGCCAGGCCACTTTGATTCATGCAGTCATGGCCATACGTGGAGGTGGACAAGGCACCAAAATGCAACAAAGAGCTGTCCAACAAAATGCTTTGGCCAGTACCTTGTTGGACCATGGCTTCAACTTGACTTGGACCACGAAAGCTGTAGAGACCATCATGGACAAATTTGGACTTGGAAAGCTCCAATCGGTGAACTCACAACCCATGGGCAATGCAAAAATTCAAGCAATTTTTGCCCTTTGCAAAGATGCAGGGATTGCCATACCAGAACCTGCGAAACCCAAGTCAGGCAATGACATCCCAGGCTCCTTGACCCAACGACGTAAGAAGAGGGCCTCAGACTTCAAACTTAATCCTGCAGATTACACACTGGTGGAAGGATTTTTCACAAAGGAAGATGGATCACAGATGCCACAGATGAGTCAGCTTGCCCCGCAATCATGCGGCATTTGCCTTCAGACAGTGTCACAGGCAGAGGTATGGGTACGGGAAGGACAAAAGCTCAGTGCAGATGAGCTTGGACTTCTGGTTTTAGGCCCTATCCAAGTACCTGCTGGACTCACATCAGAAGAGATTACCTTCCCATGCTTCAACAATGACAATCAAATGGTTCTCATCACGGCAACATTGATCCAACTGGGAGCAAAGACCATTCAACACAAGCAGGGAGATCCTAAACAAGTTCCTTCCGAAACATGCAGTCTTGTAGCGGTCACCTTGTATCGAGAAGATTGGCAAGACGATGATTGGAGGTCCATTACCACCAACCCGACCACAGTGGTTAGGAAGCAGCTTGAAACAGAAGGACTTTCCTCGGGCATTCAAGCCATCTGGGGAAAATCACTTCGTCACCAACGATCACCAGCCACCCCAGCTCAGGCATTGACGGTGCAAATTCACATGACAGTGGAAGATGCTACCTTGGAAAGAATGCTGACTAGATCAGGGTTTAACCGACTTTTCCTGACACCCAAAACCCAGGTGGGCAGACTGAACCCGACATACAAAGTCATTTGGATCCCAGGGGACATACCAAAACTGACATCACTTTCCACCAAATGCTCTTCATGCCTTGGGTTAGTCCGGGGAAGACAAGGAAAAGGGTATGGACTCAGATTCCACACGGACAGATATGATGCAGCATGGTCAGTGCTTTTGCCAGGGACATCACCACCGCAAAGCAACCCGGGTGACAAGGTATACAAGCTCCAGAACCTTCCCTTTGGTTGCACAAAGCTGATGTTGCAGAATTGGATTGAAGCCATGAAATGGGATGCATGCCCGATCAGAGCATTGGGACCACAAACATGGATTGTTCGATCAGCCAGTGAAATACCACCAGGGATTCCCATGTTCAATGCAAGTCCAATTTTAGCCAGGCTATTGCCGCCAAGAGAACAACATGGATCAGAAAAAATCTTGTTGGGGCCCAGACCAAAGCCACAGCCAGGACAAGTTGGAGATCCATGGCACCAAGGCCAAGACCCCTGGGCCAACTATGGTGCGTCAAAGCCACCTATCGCCATGCCTGCAGCTGCTATGCCACCTCAACAAGGACCCACAGAAAAACGTTTTCTGGAACAAGATGCTAAGATTGCCACAATTCAAGCAAGCCTTGATGAATTGGCACAGAACCAAAAGCTCCATGCAAAGCAGGTTGACAGCCAATTCAAGCAAGCGGCACAGAGAGAACAAGACAATCTCAACAAGATGGATCAAGCGCTCAAGCACATTGAGATGACTGTTGACAATGCCATGCAAAAATCCATGCACCAATATCAATCATCGATGGATGAAAAATTCCAGGAGATCAAAAGTTTGTTCCTGAATAACAAACGACCTGCCCCAGCCGAGGAATCAGAGATGGAAGACTGACTCAGGTCAGCAAAACGTGCATGTAATTCATTCCAGTTTTGCCAGCCACAGCCGTACTACATGCTTAGAGCCAAGTTTTTGCCATGGACCCATCGAATCATGGGGTTTCTTGCTGTTTTGGCCCGCTTTGCTATGTGCTGGGTTGTACATCTCAGGAGCCGAACCTTGGAGTGGCTATCAGTCATGCGAAGTCATAGTCAGTACCACCCAGCTTGGGCATGCCTGCAAGTTTTGCATAGTAACCATCCTGAACCGCTTGCAAGTGCCATCACACGCACTACAAGCCTTTCCAATGGCCGAAGCAGCACTACAAGCGGCAGGAAGGGCCTGGGGGCCTACGGTTTTTCAGTTTTGCTTTGTCCAATCAAATGCATACATTTGTCACCCATAGCTGCCATCTTTCGAGATTTCTGGCATCCGAGCACTGGACCCGATTGTACAGAATTTTTCTTGTCCAAATACACCATTTTGGTAACATCAGAGCGCCCCAAGGACCAATCAAGCTCACGGTCAGACACACAGATGGAAGGTAGCAAATGCATCAATGCTCTCCCATGTCTAGCTCCACTTTTGTTCTGTTTGGGACTTGCTATAATGACCAATCTTCGGTTTTTCAGTGTTTTGAACCTAAACTATGATAAGCGGAACTTCATGCGAAGCCATCCTTTCCAGCATCTAGTTTGGGCCGACCCACCACTAGTGTCCCTTTGCCAGGATGAACCCTCTGTAAGTGATGCAGCATGGAATTGCGACCATTCAGAAGAATGTCAAATGCGTACTGCAGGTGGCAGACAAGGCTTGGAGGACCTTTCTCTCCGAAGTTTTCATGAGGGCAATCATAGCCTACCGCAGCAGTCCCAGGTTAGTTGCCAGCTTTATTTTGTGCATCCGAGCATACTCAGCTGTACAGATAACTTAACATGGCACAGGGCCATTTTGGCACTGACACTTGCCTACTATGCTCCTTTGCAACAGTTTTGTCAAACTCACGTGACTTTTGCCAACCAGCTCCAATTTTTGTCATTAGCTCTTAAGACAGAGGAGCTAACTGTAACTTGGAATGATTTGGTAAATCTCTGGAGTTTTTGTGTGCTCACCCTGCGTTTTGACACGTGCATCCATCGACGGCACCATGGAAAAGACCAAACAAAGGGGGCTCACCAATATGAACAGTTGAACCATCATGCCAAAACTCTAAGAGAGCCTGCAGAGCTGAGACGACCTTGGAGAACATCGAGATCACAAGGCACGAGAGATCCAAGACTGGAAGGTAGTAAGCAATCCACACCATCCAGGAGCACAAAAACTTATGCGACAGCTTAGCCATTTTTTTGTACAGTTTTATTGCATGCAACCATACTTTGGTCCAATATGTACAGTCCATTGCTTGTCAAACCAGGCCATTTTGGCACCGACATGGAAAATGCAGAGGTTAGGTGAGGCCGCCAATCCAGGGCCTACTGACCCAGACACACAACGAATAGCCATTACCAATCCAACCAGTATCTATTCCAAGGCCCAGACCTATCGAGAACTGCAGTTAGCACATAGCCCAGATGTCATCACTGCATCCGAAACATCCGCCACACAGTTGGCACAAGATAGCTTCAGCCGTGCCATCCGACCTGTCTATCGAAGAATGCTGTGGTCCACCCCAGTAGCTGACCATAGACCCAAAACAGATGGCACCGCCTCCAAAAGAGGCAAAGCTGCGGGAGTCGCCTGCATGACCAACCAACGCATCAGAATGGCCCAGGGAACCCTTACACCTGAATGGGAAGCAACCTCCCGTATAATGCATGTGGTTCTCTCCTTGGGTAAACTGGATTTACAAATGATCATTCTTTATGCACTACCCACCACACAAAATGGTATCTCTACCTTTAATAGTGACCTTTTACAAGCAGCAGTCCAAGCCAGTGCCATGCTTCCACTGCCGTGTATAATTTTGGGGGACTTTAATGGAGATCCATTTGGATGGACATCAGGAGCCCAGCTCAAACAACAAGGCTACTGGGACCTGAGATCCCTCCACCAGCGATTATTTGGCCGCCCCATGGCCCCGACATGCCGAGGGGTCACGACACCGGACAATGCACTTTTCTCACCTGCTGCGGCTAATTGGGTCACTAACATACAGGTCATTCAGGAAGAACATTTTGATTGCCATAAAGTGGTAGTGTTTGACCTTGCCATCCCAGACCAAGACGCTTTTGTACAAAGTTATCGCATGCCGGAAACTTTCCTGAAAATTCCAATGAGTGAAGCTGACCTGCATGAAGCCTATAACCAAGTAATCCGAGAATGTGGACCACCTCAGGACATTGAGACTTGGGGACAAAGGGTTGAACAGGCAGCTGACCAAGCCTATAGAAAATTCCAGGTCCATGACACGGGATGCACATGGGAAAAAACAAAAGGAATGCCAAAAAGATATAGAGGAAGATGTCAACCCACTAGGTTAATTAACCATCCGGTAAGATCTCATTTCAAGCCAGGCCGGCCAGGTGACTATCAGCCCCCAATGGAAATTCACACCTTTAACACCCGGGCAAAAGTCGAACAGCTCAGGAGACTTCATGCACTTCTTTTTCTCTTGCGAAGGAAGGAATGGGGTGAACAGCAAAGAGAACAAGCCTGGGGACTATGGCATGCCATTCTCCGGTGCACTGCCTTTCATGGTAACTTTCCAAAATGGGCACAAAATATCCCTGAATTGGGCCCCTTACCGGTTAATCTACCCAACCCAAGTTTGTTAGACATGGTTCTTCGAATGGCCAAACATGAAATCAACCAAAGTCTATGGAATGATCGACAGAAATGGAAGGACAAAATGGAGTTCAGACGCCGTCTGGACTACAGATGTCAAGGTAACTCTAGAGCATTTGCTCGCATCCGCGATCCTACACAACCTGGGGTGTTTGAGATAAAAACCCAAGTGGAAGATACCATCATCCCGGTCCCTCAAGAGGATGGCACGATGCTAGCCTATTGCCACCAAGCACCACAATACCATGATGATGCGATTGTGTATATCCATGACATCACAGCTACCCTGATAGATAAAGATGAACACAGTTTGCTTTTGCGCCTCCATGGACAACTCCCAGACATGGAGCAGTACGAGATATCACAAAAAAGAGTAATCACACATCCCACTGATATCATGAATCACCTCCAAAACCACTGGAACCAATACTGGACAATGCCGGACGAAAAACTGGAACCACCACCAGGCTTCCATGACATGTTGACCCAGATTCAGCCTTTGATCAAAGATGCACAAATTGACTTTGCAGACTCCCAAGAGTGGTATAATGCAGTGCGCTCACTGAATCCTAAGAGTGCCAGGGGTATTGATGGCATAAGCGCCTCCGAGCTCCAAAGCCTACCGTGCCAAGCTATTGACCATTTAAAAGATATCATGTTGCAATTACATGCTTTCCCCCCATGGTTAATGATAGCAAAAACTACCCCTGTCCCAAAAGTGGAGCAACCCCAAATCCACGAATACCGACCAATAACAGTTCTAGCGCAGTGCTACCGACTCTGGAGTAAGGTCATCACCCGCATCCTCATCAAAATCTTAGGTACCCTAATGCCCAAAGAAGTCACTGGCTTCCTGCCAGGACGAGGACCTGCAGATGCCACTTATAACCAGCAGTTTCTTTTGGAATGGGCACATGCCTCCAACATTTGCTTATCCGGTTTTGCCCTTGACCTCAAAAGATGCTTTAACACGATAGGCAGAAAAGGGGCGTTTCTCATTATGGAAGCTATTGGTATTCCAACTCAGGTCATCAAGGTTTGGTTTAAATCCTTATCCAATTTGACAAGAACATGGAATGTGCAGGGCCTTTCTTCCTTTCCCCATAGCACCAATAACGGCCTTCCTGAAGGTGACCCTATGAGCGTTACAGCCATGCTAGCCATTGCATATGCCTGGGTCCAAAAGCTACAGATGCACACCCATGACCTCCAGCCAGCCGCGTTTGCAGATAACTGGGGATGGTGTACAACAAAGGCCAACCAACATCAGCCATCCCTGCAGGCTACGAAACAGATGGCAGACTTCCTCAACATGATTATCGATTGGAGAAAATCTTGGCTGTGGAGCACCCACAAACAGCATCTCTCGCCATTGAAGGCCGCCATCCGGAGAGAGGCGCCAGAAGAACATATACCAGAGATGCTTACTGCCATGGATCTTGGAGCTCAGCTTACCTACAGAGGAACAGCCCGACTGGGTAAGTTAAAGAACCGACTCCACCAAGCCAAAATTCGCCTCCAACGACTTCAGAAACAACAGGAGCCACTACAGTCTAAGACCAGACTAGTTACCGCAGCCATCTACCCAGTAGCCATGTATGGAATGGAGCTAACTCCGGTAGGAGCCCAACACCTTGACAGCCTGCGTACGGAAGTGGCCAATGCTTTGTTTGGACCTAGTATAAGTAGAAACTCTGCCATCGCTATCCACTGCACTCCCAATGTGTACGACCCGCAACTGGTCTTGATGCAAAGGATACTGTTGGCAGCACGTAGATTTCTCTATAGGGCCAGTGAAGCAGAGCGAAACCGTTTTTCAGATTGGTTGCAAGACATTCTGGCCAAGCACATGAATGCAAGGGACCTGCTGGAGTTCTGAAGTACCACTTGTGTAAGTTTGGTTGGCAACTAGGTACCCAAGGTCAGTTGGAAATCAATGCATTTGTAACATTTCCATTTCTTGACATTGGCCAATCCACACTGTTGCGTTTATGTCAAATGCAATGGCAAGAGCAGATCATGAGCCACACTGACCGAAGGGCCTTAAAAGGGCTGCCACCAATTTGCCGACTTTCTACAATACAGGTGTTGCGTAAGTTTAATTCAGCACAACAAGTTAAAATCTTGAATGAAATCTCAGGTGCCTACCAGACCAGACTGCAACAATCTGCCTGGGATGACCAGACCAGTCCGTTATGCCCACACTGTGGGGAGATCGACACACGGGAACA